CCAGCCTGGTCTTGACCCCTTTGCTCATCATTCCTCCTTCTCTGCAACTGGATTCCAGAGTTCAGCTCAGTATTTAGCTGTGGGTATTTGCTTCTGCTTCTATCAGCTACTGGATGAAGGCTCTAGGATGGCATATAAGGTAGTCATCAATCTCATTATAGGGGAAGGCATTTAAGGTAGCCTCTCCACTATTGCTTAGATTGTTAGTTTGTGTCATCCTTGTAGATCTCTGGACATTTCCTTAGTGCCAGATTTCTCTGTAAACCTATAATGGCTCCCTCTGTTGTGGTATCTCTTATCTTGCGCTCCTCTATTTTTCCTCCAACTCAACCTTCCTGCTCCCTCATGTCCTACTCTCCCCTCATCTTCTCCCCTTCTCTTTCTGCTAGCTCCCTCTCCCCTCTCTTACCCCCCATTCCGCTCCCAATTTGCTCAGATCTTATCCCTTTCCCCTTGTTCATGGGGACCATGAATGTCTCTATTAGGGTCCTCCTTGTTTCCTAGCTTCTCTGATGGTGTGGATTGTAGGCTGGTAATCCTTTGCTCTGTGTCTAAAATCCATATATGAGTGAGTAATACCATGTTTGTCTTTTTGTGACTGGTAGACGAGGATCTTAAGGCTAGAATGGAACTACTTTAAGTCTCTCTTCACAGTGAGCCCCCCTTCTCTGCCTGCCTGAGAGCCCAGAGCAGTGGTTCTCACCCTTCCTAATGCTACAACCCTTTAATAAGTTCCTCATGTTGTAGTAACCCCCCTACAATAAAATTATTTTTGTTGCTACTTCATAACTGTAATTTTGTTGCTGTTATGAATTGTAATGTAAATATCCATGTTTTCTGAGGGTCTTTAGGTGACCCCTGTGAAAGGGTCATTTGATCCCCAAAAGGGTTGTGACTCACAGCTTGAGAACCACCGTCCTGGAAGTTCTTTCAGAGGCCAGGATAATGAGTGAAAAGATGCCAGGCAGAAGCCATAGTCATTTTGACAAAATCTAAAAGGGTTTTAGAAGGAAGGAAGGGGCTGATGTTGTTACCACTGCAGCAGCCCAGGAAGAGCAATGTGAGGCCCCAGCCATAGGACCTGTTTGAATCTCTCCGTCCCCGCTCCTTGGGAGCAGGGAGTGTTGATGTATAGGAAGCAGAGGACAGGTAAATCCGTGTTTGCCTCAACACGGACTAGGACTACAGCCTGGGGCCTATGGCGCTGATTCACTTGGGTGAGTCCCAGGAGGCTGAAGGGGGTGGAGGAAGAGTCAGGCTGCAGCTATGAAGTGGAAGAGCAGCCACTAAAGCCTGGGACAAGGGATGATGAAGAGTCATACTGAGACTGGAATTTGGGATGGGTTCATTACATGAAGGCTTCATTGCCTGGAGGCCTCCTCCTGTCATGAGGGTAGTGGTGAGTAAAGGACTAGAAATTGGTTGATTTCTTGCTTCTTCCAGAGAAGGGACCCAAGTATGACAACCTGGGGGAGGTCTAAGTGGCCATGCTTGATGACCCTTTCTGCAGGGGAAAAAGATGTGCTGGCATTGGGAGGAGGCAGCAGAAGTACTGCTAGCCCATGAGCCGGGTGGAAAGGCACAAAGATAGGCTCATGGGGGAGCCACAAGAGAGGTGAAAAGGACCAGAGGAAGGAAAGAGGGAACCCCACTGACACCTCTCACCTCAGGCCACCCCCTACAAACACACACACACACACACACACACACACACACACACACACACACACACACACACACACACACACGAGGTACAAAGCCTGAATGAAGCAGAGCCCAGTGTAATGGGTAAGAGGGATCCCATAATCCATTTTCTGCTCAGTGACCACTGATTTCTTTCCCAGAGGACTCTGGAAATAGTGTGTAACATGGTGAGTGCCAGGAACAGGGCAGGGAATATGGAGCTCCAGAGGAAGCCTGTTTTAGTTGGGGTTTCTAGGAAAGGGTTTATTCAGCTTACACTTCCAAATTGCTGCTCATCATTGAAGGAAGTCAGGACAGGAACTCAAACAGGGCAGGATTCTGGAGGGAGGAGCTGATGCAGAGGCCATGGAGGAGTGCTGCTTACTGGCTTACTTCCCCTGGTTTCCTCAGCCTTCATTCTTCTAGAACCCAGGGCCACCAGTCCAGGAATGGCACCACCTACCATGGGCTGCACCCTCCACCATTGATCACTAATTGAGAAAATGCCTTACAGCTGGATCTCACCTGCACCCTCCGCCATTGATCACTAATTGAGAAAATGCCTTACAGCTGGATCTCAAGGAGGCATTTCCTCAGCTGAGGATCCTTCCTCTCCGATGACTCTAACTTGTGTCAAGTTGACACATAAAACCAGCCAGTACATAGTCTGAGGCAGGTAGGACACCTGCAGGGAAGGCAACTGGCCAGTGGCTGCATTTTGTAATGGCTCCCAGGCCCATTTGGGAGAGCACTTCCATGAAGGCTTGAAAAGCCTGGGCAGTCAAGGAGATCAGGCCAGAATTCTGCCACTCCTACAATGCGTCTTTATGGAACATATATGGCTGGCCTGCTCCTTCTCCTGAAGGTAAAGAACCTGGAGGAAGAGGAGGCTGGGGAACAGGAAGCACTCCTCAGTCCTAAGGTGGGAAGTCTAAATAGCTGAGGCTGCTGTCCATTCCAGACAGAGTCGTCCATGGAGGTCCCTCAGTTGGATTTATAGATGTCCCTTTGGCTCTTTGCTTCCTACTGTGGCTTCCATCTTTGCGCCTCCCCTGGTCTCTGATCAGGGCCCCTCTGAAGGGAGGAAACGGGCAGTAGATCTGGTGCCAGGAAGTCTTGGACTGTGCAACTTCCTCTCTGGCCCCAGCATTTCCTGAGCAGGATTTGGGGGCAGGACTGGGGCAGGTCTGATGCTGGAAAGAGATTCTATTCCTGGCTTGAATACCAAGTTGTACTCACTCCCCTGTGCCTCCTCCCCCACCCTAGCTAATACTCTGGGGACAACTGGAGCAACCAAGCAGGCAGGCCTGTGACAAAGGCCTGGATATGTCACGAGGCCTATCTAATAGGACTTCTCTCCTGGGCTTCTGCAACTACCACCCTGCCAGCATCCAAAAGCAGGCAGCAAGGAGAGCTGGGCAGAGTCCAAAGGCTCAGTATAGGTGAGGATGGGAACAGTTGAACCACAGGTTAAGAAAGTTTGGGAACACTGGAAGGGTGACCCTGGGAGGAGGTGGTAGTCTGCAGGTGGCCAGGTGGTCAGCTGTGGGGAGAATAGGAATGGTGTTGGTTGAGGAAGGCATGAGGTACTAGAAGGAGGGAAAACTGAGCTTAAGGGAAAGTGGCCACAACTGGAGTAGCCATTTCTGAGCACTGACCATTCAAGGTCAGATACAAAGTTCTCTCTCTCTCTTTTTTTTTTTTTTTTTTTTTTTTTTTTTTTTTTTTGTGTGTGTGTGTGTGTGTGTGTGTGTGTGTGTGTGTGTGTGTCCCTTTCTCCTTCTCCCCTCCTCCCTGAGCAGAAGCCAGGAATAAGAAGTGGTGGCTATCTTCTGCATGTTCATGTAATACAAGTTTCCTGAGTGAGTGGTCTATTCTCTGCTGCAGGCACTCTAGACTTAGCCTTGTGCCTTCTATGAGCCTGTCTTCTCCCACCAGCTTCTCCACCCTTTGGTCATCACCTCAGGTCTTTTCAGTGATTATTTTCTTGCTCCTCTGTCATGCACCAGGATCTTGAGCGTCAGAAGCATGTCCCTCCTCATGCCCCAGCAAGCTCCTTGCCAGTCCCCAGACCTGCCCATAATCCCTGCTTGCCCATTTCCCCAACTTAGGGAATGCAGGGACCAGATTTCTTCTGTTCACATCCCTGTCCAAAGTGGCTCATGAGTGACTGGTTCTGACCTGTTAGTCCTAGGAAGGGTTGGCTTCATGCCCATCAACATTCCAGCTCCCTGCCTCCTCTGCCCCCACCCCAGGAATGGGCAGGAGAGGAGATGAGTAACTGAACTGGAACCACTACTGGGAGAAGGAGCCCAGGAAAAGATTTAGAGGACTTTACAGACCCGGGAGGCAGAGTCCAGATAAGGGGGGCCTGGGTGCTTGTCTCAATCTTTCCCCATGATTGCTTAGCTATGGCCGATGCAGAAGTCCAGGGACCCTGGGAGAGAGTTGGCATTGGACCTTAACTCCTCTAGTGCGTTATTTAGGGTCAAGTCTCCAAGCTGCATCTCATTGAAGGCCAAACATTAACAACTTCTCCACCCTCAAATGATGAGGCTAAATCTTGCGAGTGACGCCAGCAGCACAGGACAAGAGGGGGGGATTAGGAAGCATGGGGAAAAGACACACCTCAAAAATAAACCAATAGAACAGCTTTTCTCAATGGTCCACATCTGCAGAGTGAGGGGCTACAGCAGGCAGCTTCTGATTTCCAGGGTTCCCCTTGACTTCATCTCCATCCCTAATCTAAGCATCTATTTACTCCAGATAACCACACTGGACTTTATGCTCCCAAAGCCTTGAGCCTTGGTTGGTTCTCTCTCTCTCTCTCTCTCTCTCTCTCTCTCTCTCTCTCTCTTTTTGCAATTGCCCTTGTAGTCCAGGCCAGCCTTAAATTTGCTATATAATTGATGACAACTTCGGACCCCTTATTCTTTTGCCTCCCCTTCTCCAGTGCTGGGATTATAGGCATGTACCACAACTCATTTATTTGGTGCTGGGGATGGATTCCAGAGCTCTGTGCATGCTGGGCAAGCACTCTGTCAACTGTGCTACCCCACCAGCCTGTTCCCAGAGTTTGGGGGTGGCATTTGCTACCCGGTTTTACAGCACAGAATCTGGCAACTGCAGTAAATGTCAAATGAATTCAAGATTTTTATTAATGATGCTGAGAGACTACACTGAAAGGATGAACAGAGGCGAGGCAGAGGTAGCGATCAGGGATGGGAGAGGTGGCTGAAGTAATAGATAGGAACATGGACTGTCATTACATGCCCAAGTATGGCTCTATGATTTGCCATCAGTGTGAGCTTGGACAGATTACTTCACCTCTCTGTGCTCTGGTTCCCTCACTTGCAGCTAAAAGCTGTAAGGAGAAGAAAGTGGTATTTACAAGAGAGCTAACACTAAGATGAGTAACTGCTACAAGACCACCCCTGACTGTAGCAGCTACAGTGGTTGAACCAGCCACTTAGGTGCCTGATTGGCTGTAGAAGGGAGCCACCTTACAGGTTTCTTGCTTAGACAGTGGCAGGACTCCAGGAGCTGAGAGGCAAAGCAGGAGGAGGAGCCCCTGAGGCAGGAAGGGAGTGTTGGACACGTGGAGTTTTAAGGCTCCAGCTGAAATCCAGGAAGCTGTGGGCTCAGTGTGTGCAAAGTTAGCCAAGGGGCCTAGCTGGAAGAGACACTGTCCAGAGTCAAAGCCTGGTTCTCAGAGTCCCCTCTCTCCAGCTATCCTACCTCTATGCCTAGTCCCCAGGAAGGCCACCCTTAACCTGAGAGACAGAGAGGGCCCTAGGGGAGTTGTATTCTGGCAGAAGCTCACTGAAGGGACAGTCTGTATCAAGTGGATTTTGATGTGCCTCTCATATCACCTATCTGGTCCTCTCTGACCACCAGAGCCAGAATGCCCAGGGCTGGGGAGATGGCTCCTGATGTGGGCTTTTTATCTTTGTAGGAGCTTTCCCAATATTTCTAAAGTAGGACTGTACTGATCCAGTGACCTTTTGGGTAGACCACTCAGTACTCTGGTACTCTCCAATTAGAAGAACTTGACCACATTATTTAACATCTTGGAGCCTGTTTCCTCATCTGAAAAATGGTATAATGATAATGCCATTTCACAGGGTTGGTGTGACAATTGAATGAATGTATATGAAGTATTAAGAACAGGGCTAGTGCAGTCTAACTACAATTATTATTTCTCTGTCGAAGACACCTACCAGGCATGTAATGACAGTTGGGGAGGGAAGATGCTGCAACAGGACACGGCATGATCACCTCCAAGATAACCCATCTGGCCTGGATGTCTTCTTCAGACATCCTTCCCTGTCCCCTGACCCTCCAGGCCTCAGCCTCAATGGAACATCGAATGAGCAGTAATTACACTGGCCAGGTCCCATCTGTCAATCCCAAGAGAACTCACTGCACTGGCAGGTGGCAGGAAATCTGACTCCTGCTCAGAAGGGACATCTAATCCTTTCGTGGCTCGGGTCATCAGTGACTAGGTAAGCATAAAAACAGCATCGTAGCCTCCTAGGACAGAAAGAATGAGGGAAAGATGGGGCCAATAAGTTTGGGACAGTCACTGTTGCCATCTGAATGGCTTTCTTCAGGTGCTTTCTGTGTGTTAACTACTTTTCTCACTGCCATGACAAATAAAAGCTACAAAAGAAAGGGTTTTAGTCGCAGTTGGAAGGTCCAGGCCATCAAAGAGGAGGCATGGTGACAGAAGTATTAGCTGGTCACACTGTACTGGCAGTCAGGAAGGGTGAATGTGGCACCCAGGTCACTTGGCCTTTTTGTTCTCCGAGGGACCCTGTTCTGTGGGGACCTTGATGCCCTCATTCAAGGTGGGTCTTATCTCTGAAAACACCTTCAAAGGTGCCCAGGGGTTTGTCTCTTAGGTGCTTCTAAATCATGTCAGATGGAAAATGATTATGAATTGTCGTGCCCTGCCTGGCCCTGACACACACATACACACACACACACACACACACACACACTGTCCCTTCTTGTATCTTAGTACCTCTCCGGGCATCACAGGCTAGAGAATGACGATAGGGTCTGAGAGAGCATATGCAGGACATCCTGGGGGTGAAGTGGAGTCAGACAACCTAGATAGGATTGCCACTGGACAGGAAACAGGACCAGGCACATGGTTTGATCAAGCAGGTGTCCTACCTCATCTCTCAGCATCTTTCCCTCCTGCCCTAAGTGGGGCAACAGGAATGGGAAACAGGGAATGTCCTACTCCACAGCCAGTTTCAGGGAACTTTTGCAAGACCTTCTAGGCCAGATCTGGCATTCCAAGTGCCACCACTGCACCCCCAACTCTTTTCTCCAAACACACCCGAGACTATCCATTTCCTGTCTTTTAGGTCAAGATTCCAAGCCATTCTCCAAGGTTTAGGAACTTGAGTTGTGGGCGGGACTCCTTTTCCCAGGTTCCCTTCTTTGCTCAGGAGGAGCAGTGAAGTCTTCTTTAGTGTGTCTCAAAGGGTGAGCACTATGGATGAGCTGGAACGCTGGTTCAATGTACGGATTTTCTATTTCACGCCTGCAAGATAGAATCACAAATTGAGAAGTTAAAACGTTCGTGCTCATATGCCCCTGGGAGAGAAAAACTATTGAAACACACACGCATTAAAAGGTTTCTAATGACGATTAAAATTCTCGCATCACGAAACCAATTCTGGGTGGAAATGGTTTAATGGCAGTGGGAAAGGAGAAGAGAAGGGCTAAGGGGAGAGTCCTAGAACGCTAGGGGCAGGACATGTACCTTTTTCTAAACCCTCATTAATGTCCTGAGCAATTACCGGGCGCCGCGGAAATCGTCCCAGGTTAGTCTCTGTCCACTCAGAAGCAGGCGTGAGTGAGATGAAGTGCCAGCATCTGTGTGGCGGTGGAAAGAGGCACAGGGAGGTGTGGGGCCTCTGCCTTTACCTAGCCCGACATAGGGGAGCAGGCCAGGGGCTGGGGGGGGGGGCGGCACTTGAGAGGTGTGGCCCTCTAAAGTCCAGCCTGTCTTCGGAATTGCCACAAATCCAAGCCCTGGAACGATCTATGCATCCACTCGTTCCTCTCCATCTGGAATGCGGTCCCTGGCCCTCCAGCCTTAACTTCCCAATCCTCGCGATTGGGAGGGCAAAGGTGGGAAGCCAGGCAGCGGGATTCCCCATGGGAAGACTGCCCAGTTACAACTCCGGGTTGCTGGAGACCCTGAACCCAAACGGGAGGCCGGACGCCCCTGGTCAGGAAGCAGCCCCAGCCCGGATTTCCCTCTCGGGTGGGGCCGCCATGACTCACTCCCTCCCCCTTCCCTAGTTTCCTTGTTTGCATTTCTCCTCCTGGCCACGTGGCGGCGGGTGCAGTCTTCGCGGCCCCTTACCCGGCACCAGACTGAGACTGGGGCATATACCCTAATGCATTACCCGCTGGGGCTTCTTGTCCGGAGCATGAACCCACTGATGTAGTCCCGGGCAGGGACTCCATCAGCTGTGGGTCCTGCCCCTTCCCCTATGTCCACCTCTACCGTAAAGCCGGTGCCTGTTCCCCGCCCCCTCGGCCTGTCCCGGGGAGGGGAAGGGGCGGGCAGCTCAGGGGGTGTGACAGCTCCTGCCCGGATCAGTGCCAGCTGCAGCTTCGCTTGAACGCCCTGTGCCAGCTGGCGCTTACATCTGGGACGGAGGCGGAGGCTCGGAGTTCTTAGCCTTTGGGGAGGGGTGGGGGTTCCCCCACGCCCCCAGCCCTCTACGAACCCAGGACGAGCCCCTCTGCCTAGCCCTGCATCTTGCTAGTCCAGACAACCTGTCCTGTTGGGAACTGGCCCTTCGCTGCCGCCCGAGTGTCGCTCGCACCGACACCCCCCTCAGGATTCCCGGGCGGAGCTGCCCTGGAGAGCTCCAGGGATCTTCCAGCCTCTTGCTAGAGAGTGCACCGCTGTGTGAGCTGGAGAAGAAACATGAAGGTGGGTAAAGGTGGGGCCAGGGTCAGGGCCAAGGAAAGCTGCTGGAAAGGGCGGGAGAGGAAGACGACACGTGGGGGAGTTTGGGTGGGAAAGGGTGGTGGGGAGGAGAGTTTCAGGCAAAGCTGCTTCTGGGGATCTAGTGTGTGTACAGCCTCAAGCCGGGAGAGGTGGGCATGCCTGCAGGACATGGGCAGTGAGGCGGGGCAGCATTCCATCAGGGACTGAGAAGGGCCCCATCTTTGTGAGCCAGCTGGGAGACCCCTAGGTGCGCCAAGCCAGCAGGACCCGGGGCAGGTCTTCCTGTCCCTCCCCCGGCTCCTGGCAGGCTTGCCGCACCTCCGCCTGACCAGTCCAAGTCCAGAGGACACTAAGCCTGGGGTGGTTGTGTGGAGGTTCAGCTCCTCCAGCTGATGGCTGTCCTCACAGGTCGGCTGGCCAGGTGACAACCACTGGCAGGTGGGTCCAGCTGTGGTGGAAAGTCCAGCTGTGGGAGCACCGCAGGTGGAAAGTCTCCCCGACGTGGTTCCGGAGGGCACGCTGCTCAACATGGTGCTGAAGAGAATGCACCGTCCCCGGTGCTGCTCTTACCAGCTGGTGTTCGAGCACAGGCGGCCCAGCTGCATCCAGGGACTTCGCTGGGTGAGTACCCTCCATCTGCCAGGCTGGACCAGGGCTGGAAGAGTCCGGACTGCTGTGCTGGTCGGCCAGCAAGCTTGCTTCAGAGGTGCAGAGTAAATTTGGGTAGACAGACAGGTTGGTGGCAGTATGTGTGGCTGATGGCAAAACTGGAGGCTGTGTCTGTGTGTAGGGTGCCCGGTGTGCGTGGTGTACTGGGCTGCTCCCTATTAAGGCTTTATCATTTATCCATCCCCTCCGTGTGGCAGGCGTTGACTTATGTGTTGAGAGTTCTCTCTGTGTGGCAGTGGGAGATGTGGGGCCAGGTCAAGTGGGGGTGAAATTAGCTTGGTTACTGTTCCTGACACATCACCGTGGCAACGGTCTCCTTTAGTGAACAATGAACTGGGCTGATTCTGGTGCTTTTTTTTTCCCTCCTGGGGTGTGAGGCATTTGTGTGGATAAAGCTTGGCACCTGGCCATGGGGAACTGAAGAGGTTTCAGAGAAGACTGCTGGAGGAAAGGAGTGGGAAGGACAGGGGTTGGGGGTGGGAGATAGGAGCCAGTCCCCAGGGATACTCTTCTCTCTTCCCAACCACCAGGTTTGACCGTCCTGTCTGTATGCTGTGTATACCCCCACGTACGTGTGTGCACGCACACATGTGTGTATAGGGCAGAGGGTACTGAGTGGAGGGTGGAGAGAAGGCAGGAGTGGATGACAAACTTGGAAAGGATCATGTCTCACCAACAAGTCTCTTTGAGTAAAACAATCACCATTGTCTCCTTTTCCTACCTTGTCTGAACACTATTTCCATTTCTAATAAAGGGGTCTGTGTTGAGAAAGCTCCAGGTGGGTCTAGAGGAGGAGACCTTCTGCACTGGAGTTGAGTCCCTACTTGTCCTTCTTTCCCTGGGTCTTTCTTATGGGGGGGAGACTGGTTCTACCCCACACCCCCACTCAGGCTCTGGGTCACTGCGGTAATTCCTGCTGGGATCTAGCTGCTGGAACCTTCCCTCTGGCCTTCCCCTTCAGGCTATAATTATTTGTGCATTTCCTGTCCCCTTCCCAGCTTGGAGAAGCTAGGTAGGAGGTGGGAGAAGGTCAGTTACCAGGACAATGAGGTCACTGGGGAATCTCTTGTGATCCAAAGTCAGGGAAAAGGTGGAGGAAGTCTCTGGCCACTCTCCTAGCTCCTCTAAGACAACAGAAAGGAAGGACCAGCTTGCATGGGAGTCTGAACATATAAAAGTGGAGGCTGCTGGAATACAAATGGGGTCAAAGGTCCAGAAACAAGGCCCACCTCTGCCATGTAAGGGGGAGAGTGGGGGAGGGCTAATGACTAAAGTGCTGAGGTTTTTAGGACTAGAGGCCACTGTCCCCCAGCTCTCTACCATGTTCATCCTTGAGGGGTGAGTGAGGTAGGCTCAGTCTCTTGTGCCTGTGTTTAGGAGCTCTCTGGCTCCCTTCGAGGCTACACCTCTTGACTCTCTCCAGGCTCCTTTGGCTCATGAAGTGTTCCCTAGAGGGAGCAAGTTCAAGCAGGGTGTGTGTATGTATAGGGTGAAGAAGGTGGGCCCAGAGCCCAGGAAGACAGGGCTGGGTTGTTCAGGCTATACCCATCTCTTTAGAAAGCCCAGGGGGAAGGTGGGTTAACCTTCTGAAGCATAGTTTATCAGAGACCAGGACAAGAGAAGCTGGTCCACAGAGAGCTTAAGCAGCCTAAGATCACACACCCTGGCTGTCAATCAGAAAGAAGCATTAGAACCCAGGCTTCTGGCTCCAGAGGCCACACAGGTGCCCACTGCTGCTCACTAATGGTCCTCTCGGTGACTGTTCCCAAGGTCTCTATCCACAGGAGCATTGCAGGGGCATGGAAGGGCTGTGATAACAAGCATGTCCCTTACTCTTCCTTTAGAATGTTCCTGAGGGCAGAATGCCTCTGCTGCTTTTGTGACTGTGACCTGCCCAGAGGAAGTACAGGGGTTGAACTCAGGAGAGATGACAGGGCCTGAGTGGGCCATGGAGTGAGACAGGTTCTGGTGTGAATGCTGTTTTGCCACCTGTTAGGGTGGCTATGTAACCTTTTTCTGGCTGTGAAATAATACAAACATCTGCTTCACCTGGAGGCGGCACTTAGACTCTTCCCTTTCAGAGCAACTATGTGACCCTAGGCAGTGACTTTGACTCTTCAGGGCTTCAGCTTTCTTTAGCAAACTGAAGTGCCTTATGGCTGCTTTCTTAAGCTACCACTCTCAGACTCCCGTGCCCATCCCCTGGGGCAGGGCAGGAAGTGACCAGCATGGTCATGTGGCCTCGTAGGTCAGGAGAATTCCAGGAAGGGTGAGCTGGGGATATAGCTTAGTGGGTAGAGTGCTGGCTTAGCATGCCAGGAACCCTGAGCAGTGGCAGTTCTTGATATCATAGCACTGAGGACGCAAGGCAAGATGATCAGAAGTTCAAGGTCATCCTCAGCTTCTTAGTGACTTCAGCCTGAGCTGCAAGCGACCTTGCCTCTAAAAAACAAAACTACAAAAACCTGAGACCAAACAGATGGCTTTGAGAATGACAGCATTTGCTAATCTCACAGAGGCCCTGAATTCAGTCCCGAGCAACCATGTCCAACAGCTCACAGCTACTGTAACTCCAGTTCCAGGGCATCTGACACCCTCGTCTATCTTTTATGAGCACGTGCACGTGAACATGCACACATGTGCAAACACACACACACACACACACACACACACACACACACACACACACACACTAACAATAATAATGGAGCCTACACTACAGTCTGGACTGTGGGCACCAAAGGGAGCTGGGGCAGGAACTAGGGTGACGGGCATTTTGACTTGAATAACAAGAAGTCATTAGCACTCGGGCACTGTTTGTTCCAACACAAGGTCTGGCTGGATAGCATTCCTGCCCTTCCTCCCTTCCTGGCTCCTCCTCCTCCTCATTTCCTGTCCTTAAGTCTCTAGGGCTGTGTGTCTGGCATTGGCCTGGGCCCCATGACCCGGGCAGGGATACCCTTGGGACACCTAGTGACTTCCGCCTCACGCTGGGCTAGGCGCCCATGCCAGACCTTTAGGCCTCTGCCTGGGGATAGTGACAAAATGCCTTTGCCTAAGATCTGCCACTCTCGGGAACAGGACTTGGATGCCAGTTCCTTACCCAATGCTTTTCCAGGACCTTGAGTGCTGGCAAGTAGGGTGGGTGGAATGAGACTGGTAAGGAAACCATTTGGGTGGGAGTTCCAGCTTACCCATGGTTGGCTGTGCGTGCATGGCTGCCTTAGGTGGGGTACTTGTTACTCTGTAAGTCACAAGGAACAGACACAGTCTCTGCTCTGCCTACCACACCTAGGCTGTGGTGCTATCAGGGAGGTGGAGGTGCTCTGTGAGCTGTAAAGGGTGCCTTGGGAGGGCTTTTAGAGAGCAGGGCAGCCTGCCCAGAGATGTTCATAAACTCATTTCCAGATGGTCTGAAAAGAGGGTTGTGAGGAACCTTCATGGCTGAAATGCCAGGGTACAGGTGCCCTGGAGTCCCTGGTGGCAGCGACATTGCTACCAAGAGCCTTGCTAACCAATGTTTCTATGCTAAACCAGTCTTATGGGCTGCCAAGGCCTTATCCACCTTTATGGGTCTGTGCCTTGCAGTATCTCATAGAAAGAAGTCTTCCAGTTGCAGCCCCACCTGTGCCCTACTGAATAATGAAAGCTAATATACGCACAGCCATATGCCTGACAATGGTTAAACGTGCAATCTGTATCGGGGGCCTTCCAAAAGTTCATGGGTTGCTTTGATTTGCACTTGAGATTTCATACATCAAGATTTTGTTTGGGGATCACACCATTACTATGGTACCTGGTTCCAGTGTTTGTGTTTTCAGTAAGACACAGCCCTACAGAGGGCTCTGTGGTTGGGCACAATCCTGAGCTTGGGGTCAAGCCTGTGGTCCCAGCTGGGAGCTGGTCTTCTCAGGCCTCCCAAGATGTTCATGCCCTGGCCTCTCATGAATCTTGTATTGTGCCTTCCAACTTCGTCCAGCACCACTCCCACCAACCATACACAGGGACTGTTTGCCTGATAGCCTGAGCATGTGTGGACCTTGGGTGAGCCAAGTTGGGATCTTGGGGACTCTCACCTGCAGCACACTGGTGTGGGACAAAACTTCTGAGAGGGGCAGCGGTATGGGGGAACAGTATCTTGCACACTGGGTAAGCAACAAGTGTTTATTTATGGCATAGGGGCTCGATGGATGCATTGAGACCAAGACTCAGGCAAGGGCAACAGTGAGTAGGGCAGGGAAGGGTCTCACTCTGTGAGTTTGAAGGCCTCTCTCTGATTGTCAAACTCTCCGTACTGCCCTCAGACACCACTTACCAACAGTGAGGAGTCTCTGGACTTCACTGTGAGCCTGGAGCAGGTATGAGTAGAGGAAAGTAGAGCTGGGAGGGGGCTGCTGTGGGGGCTTCAGGCCTAAATTTGCCCCCTTCATTCCAGGCCACCACGGAGCGTGTGCTCAAGGCAGGGAAGCTCCTGCATCGTCATCTCCTGGCCACCTACCCTACCCTCATCCGAGACAGAAAATACCATCTCCGACTGTATCGGTGAGTGGGGGTCCTGGCTGTCCTTTACAGTTACCCTGTTGGCTTTCCTTCCTGATCTCTTCTAGGAACTGGGACCAAGCCCTGCTTTGTAGGGAAGAACTGGGCTTGGGCCTGGATGGAGACTTTGGATACCGATCCCTCTCACTCCTACTTTGATTCTCTGGCCTCCTTCCATTTCCCACAGGCAATGCTGCTCTGGCCGGGAGCTGGTGGATGGGATCTTGGCTCTGGGGCTTGGCGTCCATTCACGGAGCCAAGCTGTGGGCATCTGCCAGGTGCTGCTGGATGAGGGTGCCCTTTGCCATGGTAAGCTGAGCTCTGATTGGGCAGTAGGACTGGGTGGAGGTAGGGAGGGCTGACCTGAGGACTGGACTGTGTTGGGAGTTCCAGAGGGGCTTAAAGCATTGTGATGGTATTAGTATGAAGTCCACTACTTGGCCTAATTTTCTCTTCCCTGCCATGCCTGTGCCTTGGCTCCCCAGTGAAACATGACTGGACCTTCCAGGACCGAGATGCCCAATTCTATAGGTTCCCTGGACCAGAGCCAGAGCCTGCGGGAACTCATGATGTTGAAGAGGAGCTTGTTGAGGCAATGGCTCTACTCTCACAGCGAGGGCCTGATGCCTTACTCACTGTGGCGCTCCGGAAGCCGTAAGTACAGAGCCTTGTCCCCTGTCCCCACTCTCACGTGGCCTTCAGTTAGACCTCAAAGGCTCTCAGATTCATTTGGGGGAAAGGACCTAGGCAGGAGCAGAGGCCTGAACTCAGCTCTCATGCTGCCTTGGACTTGCCATGTGACCTCAGCCCCCACATCTCTGACTGTTTCTCCTAGTCCTGAGGTTGTTGGTCCAGAGAACCCCCCCACACACACACACTAACAGTGGGTGTGGATTTTGGACTGAGGCAAGTCAGGGTTCGACTTCTAGCCCAACCAGCTACTCACTGGGTGACCTTGGGCCTCTTCAGCCAGCTTCCTCTTCTGTCAAGCGAAGATAATAGTGCCCATGTCATAGTGTGAGCACCAAATGAAATAATGCGTGAAAAGGTGCTTAGCACAGTGCCTGGTACCCAGGGCTCACCCGCAAAGCCTGTTATTGATAACAGTGGATTGACTGATGGTTGTGGAGCCACCATCTGGCTCCAGGCCCCAGGCTCCAGCAGGCAGGTGGGGTGGCTCCCTCTCTTGCTCTGGCTCCCAGTTCTCAGGGCGTCCTCTGCTCCTGCAGCCCAGGTCAGCGGACAGACGAAGAATTGGACCTCATCTTCGAGGAGCTGCTGCACATCAAGGCGGTGGCCCACCTCTCCAACTCAGTCAGTACACACACAGGCTTGCCATTTAGCTAGACCTCTTCATCCAGGAGCCCTCAGATTCCTACTGACAGATGGGGGGTAGGGGTGGGGAGAGCAGTTTCCTCCCTTTTGTCTGTGGCTTGAAGATTTCCATCTAATTTCTTTTTTCTCTTTCTCCCCCCCCCCATCCTCCTGAGATAGGCTTTCTCTGTGTAACAGTTCTGGCTGTCCTGGAACTTGCTTTGTAGACCAGGCTGGCCTGGAACTCACGGAGTGCTAGGATAACAGGCATGCTCCACACAGCCTGGTTTCTTTTTCTTTTCTTTTTTTTTAAATTAAAGTTTAAAAATTATTATCTTAAGTGTATGTATGGTTTACTCACATGTATGTCTGTATACAACATGCATGCCTGATACCTGTGGAGTCTAGAAAAGGGTATTGGATCCCCTGGAACTGGTTACAGATGGTTGTGAGCTGCCATCTGTATGCTGGGAATTAAACACAGGTCTTCTGGAAGAGCAGCCAGTGCTCTTAACCACCGAGATGTCTCTCCAGTCTCTCTATCTAATTTCTTTTTTAACGATTTATTGATTTTTATTTCATGTACATTGGTTTGCCTGCCTGTATGAGGGTGTTGGATCCCTTGGAGCTGGTGTTACAGGCAGCTCGGAGCTGCTATGTGAGTGGGTGCTGGGAATTGAACCCGGATCCTCTGGAAGAACAGTCAAGTGCTCTTAACCACTGAGCAATCTCTTAGCCCCTCTCTACCTAATTTCTTACCGTTAGCCCTCAGTCTGAATATTTTCCCACCTCTCTTGGCCTTCCTTTTCTTTGTCTTCACTACATGCCGGGACAGCCAGCCTGGCCACAGCTCTGTCCTCCAGTGCTCTGTCTTTAGATTTACCTTCTCTCTCAGCTTGTCTCTCTTTCCCCCAGATTGACACTATCAACCTTCCTTTTCCCACTCCTAGGTGAAGCGGGAATTAGCTGCTGTTCTGCTCTTTGAACCACACAGCAAGGCAGGGACTGTGTGTAAGTTGGGTTGGCCACAGACAGGGTCAGGAGCCATTGGGGGCAGTGGTGGGTGACAGGAGAGGACTAATCTGATCTGTGCTTCTGTCAGTGTTTAGCCAGGGGGACAAGGGCACCTCGTGGTACATTATCTGGAAGGGATCTGTCAACGTGGTGACCCACGGCAAGGTAAGTTCTCCCTCCAGCCCACCACAATCCCCTGGAGTGTCAATGATCTCTGCTTCGTGTCCTCATGGACACTCCTTTTTGACAGTCCCTAGGCTGCTGATCCTATGTGTGTCTGAGTCCGTCCCCTAGCAGGGGCTGATGGTAGGGGTAGACTGTGACTGAGTTCTGGCTTCAGGGGCTGGTGACCACATTGCATGAGGGAGATGACTTTGGACAGCTGGCTCTGGTGAACGATGCACCTCGGGCAGCCACTATCATCCTTCGAGAAAATAACTGTCACTTCCTGCGTGTGGACAAGCAGGACTTCAACCGAATCATCAAGGTGCCACAGGGTGGGGGTGATGGTGGGGTGCGGTGAGGACATGATGCAGTGTGGGGCAGAGCCGCTGGTGTCCAAGAGAGTTTATAGGCAGACTTGGGATTTAGCTGGGAATGCACACCCTGAGTTTGGTGTGAGAGACCGGAGACTGGTGGGTTGCAGAGGGTTGGGTTTGGGGCTGAAGCTTTGGAGGTCTGATAAAGTTGGGTCTTGAGAAGCATTGAGGTTCTGCTGAGGGTCCTTAGGCTCAGGGTTTGGAGGTCTGGAGAGGAGACTAAGGCATTGAGCACCTGTGTGGCTCTTTTTCCAGGATGTGGAAGCAAAAACCATGAGGCTGGAAGAACACGGCAAAGTGGTGTTGGTTCTGGAGAGGAGCTCTCAGGGTACCGGCCCTTCCCGTCCCCCAACCCCAGGCAGGAACAGGTAACAAGCCCACCATATCTCTCCCTACACAGCTCCCCCACGGCTCCCCATTTACATTCCTCTCCCTCTTGCCTTAGCTCCTTTCCCATGCCATGTTTCTATCTTTTGGCCATCTGGGGGGCAGGAGGCACTGAGGGACTGGGGTGATGTATTAGTAACCCCTCTCCAAGATGGAGTAGATCTGGTGAATCAGGAAGCATGATGGGATCAATTATTGATGATGGAGAGGAGTAATTATGGAAGGGCACGCACTATAGATGGACTGGTTTTCCTCTAGGTATACAGTAATGTCTGGCACCCCAGAGAAGATCCTAGAACTCCTGTTGGAAGCTATGCGACCAGATTCCAGTGCTCATGACCCAACAGGTAGAGTCAGAAGACACTATTTTGTTCTCCGAGTCATCAGGAGATCATTGCGGTCTGACCTCATCAGAGGCTAGATTGGTCCATACAGGCAGTTGGCAGGAAGTACTCTTGGCCTGGGTGGAAAACACTGTCATAGGGGCTGGGCATTGCTTCCCTTGCTTGTGTTGTACTTGGGGACATGTGTTGCAGCTGCTCATATAGCTAGCTGTGTGGTGACTTGGCTTCTGAAGTCCCTTCCCATCCCTGCCCCTGCCCAACAGAGACATTCCTCAGTGACTTCCTGCTGACCCACAGTGTCTTCATGCCCAGCACCCAGCTCTTCACTGCCCTCCTGCATCAATATCCTTCGAGCCCTAGGGTAGTGTGGGTAGGGGATGGGATGGTGTGCGGAGGCGAGGGAAGGAATCCCTATCCAAGTGACTGTTGTAACCCTTCCCTGGTGCCCTGCACATGCCTGGCCCAGTCGGGCCCTGCCCATCCTCTGCTCAGGTGTGACGGGTGGCCTCAGTGGCATGGTGTGGTTCCCTTGACTGGTGCCCACCTTCCATGTGGAGCCAGCAGAGCCTGCTGGAGGCAGCGAGCAGGAACGAAGCACCTACATCTGCAACAAGAGGCAGCAGATTCTGCGGCTAGTCAGCCGGTGGGTGGCCCTGTACGGCCCCATGCTCCACTCAGACCCCGTGGCCACCAGCTTCCTCCAGGTACCTGGGAGTGCAGCTGGGCTGGCTGGGGTGCTCATGAAGATACAGCCTCAGCCATCCCAGGGTCAAACTCTCACCCTTTCACAGAAACTCTCAGACCTGGTGAGCAGGGATGCCCGACTTAGCAACTTGCTGAAGGAACAGTGGCCGGAGAGGCGGCGGCACCACAGGTGACCCTCTGACTGAAGTCCATCTGTCTTCTTTGTGCAGCACGGGTTGAGCGGCTGGCACTGGTTCATCCAGGGCTTCAGTCTAGGCTGCCTGCTTATGTCAAGTGTTCTTGTCAGCCCCCATCCCATTCCTACATATGCTGCAGTCATTCATCTGCTCATTCTATATGTTGAATGCACCATTTGGCCGGTTACTATGACCTATGATACCAATCGACCCCTTTGAGTTTACCGTATTTCCCCCCAGACATCATGGGGGCAGCTGGGTTCAAGGGCGAAAGGTCATTCAGATCCCTGGAGCCTGTGTCTTCCCCTCCTACTGTGTCTCTCCCTCTTACTCCCCCTCCCTCCTGGTCCCTAGAAATCACAAGCCAATCAGGTCTTAAGCACATCTCGCCCCATGCCCTGCCCTGTGTACATTCCTCAGGGTATCCCTTTGAGCTTCTGGGGAGGGCAGGATGGGACCGCTGTGGACACTGACCCTGGGAGGCATCCTGCCTACAAGGGTCCTCAGGGGCCTTCTCACCTCCTCTCTCACTCCTCTCTGCAGGTTGGAGAATGGCTGTGGGAATGCATCTCCTCAGACCAAGGTACCTACCCTGCCTCATTTCTCCCTCTGCCTGGCCCAGCTTCTTCACTCTGCTCCTCCTGCTTCCACACCCAGAGGGTCCTTGACCTGTGACAGGTGCATCAGGGAGGTCCTTTTCGAGAGATACGAGCTTAAGGGGACAACTTCATCCCTTCCCTGGGGGTGGGGCTTTTATTCCTTTGGGTGGTAATTCATGCCGGCAATTGTAGCTAGGAGGCGAGACAGGTGGCTGGGTTCACCGCTGAGACCCAAGGGTTTCTGGTGGGTGGTATTGTAGGAGCTTAGATGGTATGATGAGACTGTCCTAGGGGTCCAGGTGGCCAGCCCACTCCCAGCTAGGGCTAGGGAGGGCTGCAAAGTCATGACTGAAGCTAAGATTTGGTTGAAGAGCATTGGGAGAAAGGACTGGTGAGAAGGTAGGATGGCTTGGTCGTGGGGAATGATACAAGGAGAGAACTCAAAGTCAGTACCTTGACTTCAGCCAGCCCTGCTGCCCAGAGGCTCCCACTAGCTCCTTCCTGATATAGTCAAAGCTGGCCTCACCTCAGCTCCGGACCTTTGCATTTAGCCTTCTGCATGGACCTTTCCTTGGTTGCCCCTTTACCTTCCTGGATCCTTCTTGTTCTGAACAGAGTAAGAACGTTGCATTCCATTTCCCACCGGAGCATCCCAGGTGTCCTCTCTGGTTTCTTCAAAGCACTCTCCCCTTGTGAACTGTTTCCTTTGTTTGCTAAGAGACCTTGACTGGTTGCCTCAAACTTTTTATGCTCAGGGGTCCCCTCATCCTGCTCCTTCCTATTCTTCATGTCTGCTCTTCTGAGACCAGGCTCCTCCCCTCACTCCAGTTGTATGTTCCTGTCTGTCACATCCCATCAGGATGTCAGGTTGAGCATGAAGGGGCCTCTACTTGTTTTACATACTGCATATGGCTGGATCACCAGCCCTGTCAGATGCAATGCTAGATGATGGGTGGTGTGGCCTGTGGGTTCACAGTCACTCGCGGGCCCAGAGCTGTGAAATAGTCTCCTGATGTGTGAAGTCAGTGGAGCCTGAGAAAGCAAGAGGAGAAAAGCCAACTTTCTGATTTACTGTGAGGGCTTAGAGAAGTGACGCTGGAGCTGAGCTGAGGACAAAGAGGGCCCCAGGGAGGAGGAGAGGAGGCCAGGAGGGCTGGCAGGGACCAGAGTGTCTCCTCCTAGGGTCCCAGCTATGGACCGTTGAGAGGTTGAGGAGACAGTCATGACTTCTGTCCCTGGCTCAGTGTGGCTCTGCTCAGGTGGGTTAGAGGAAGTGAGTGGCTGCACCTGGGGGGTAGGGGGAGTTTGGAGGTAGGGAACTATTGTTAACAGTTAAGAGGCCATCCTGGGTGGGAGAGAGGGCACTGGGGACACATTTAAATGAAGAAACTACAAGCTCTGGGGAGTAGGGAGGGGCCTGAGACCAGAATTGCAGAACGAAAGATGTGAAGGCAGGAGGAGGGGACCCCTGGGTGCAGAAAGTTTGGGGCAATGCATCAGGGATGGGGATGTAAGTTTAAGGTTAGGGTCCTGGTGAACCCAGCAGGTGGTAGCATTTTAAGCATCATCTATGATAAGGGGGCACTTGTCATGGGGACTCTGAGGAAGCTGTCTAGGAAAGGCGGGGGCAGGGGAGAAGCTCCTTTTAGAGGCAGAGAGAAAATGCCAGATTTGGAGAGAGTGTAAAGGCCAGATGGGTTCAGGTTAAGACAGCTCATCAGGAAGGCTATCTGGCCTTGGCAGCCCACTCTGTCAGGACAGCTCTTGCAGAACAAGGACACAGAGAGGAGCATAGCAAATTTCTAGCCCTGTAGCAGTTGCTGTGTGGCCTTTGGCATATTTCTTAACATCTCTGAGCCTCACTTACCACATCCATAAAGTGAGGATTAAAAATACTTTCCCTCCAAGGACTACTGTGCATATTTCAGTGCCCAGAACAATGCCCACTTTGTAACAATTGCAAGCTGAGGGAAGGAGAGAAGAAGAAACTTGGCCCTGGCATTTTTATCCCACAACAGCTCTGGCCCTGTTTTATGGAGGTGGCTGACCTTCCCCCCATTCCTCCCTACCCCCAGCGGATGACTGGCCTGCATTTGACCTCTGTGTCTCCTCAAGCCTGGCTCCCTGCCCTCCCTGGACTTAGATTCATGCAGCCAGCAGAGCCCCTTGGCAGTATGATGCTTCGGGGTCCCTGCTGGTGGTGACAAAGGCCCTCCCTGTCCCTTCCCTGTATGTTGTCTCTGGCTTCTGGAGCCCTATCCTTTTTCCCTCTCAGGCCCGAAATGCACCTGTTTGGCTCCCTAGCCAGGAGGAATCCCTCCCAAGCAGCACTGGTGCCATCCGAGTTGGGGACAAAGGTGGGTGACTGAGCAAGTCAGGCTTGGACCAACATCAACATTGTTGTCTCTGTCTCCCTTTCTGGCTGTTGTTGTTCTGGGCCAGGGGAGGACGTGGTGTTCCTCAGGGCCTTTGCTATAGCTGCCAAGCAGATGGGCCACCTGTGCCCATCTTTAGGCCCCGGGCTCCCCATTGGGTTTCAACACCAGCCTAGTAGACTTCTCTTTAAACCCCCTTTTCTGGCCTATGGGAGTCCTCCAGCTGCTGATCTGTGGGCCCTGCTTCTCATGGGGTGGGGAGACCAGGCACCCACTGGTCCAGCTCAGCCCTTCCTCCTCTCCAGTTCCCTACGACATCTGCAGACCCGATCACTCGGTGGTGACCCTACAGCTGCCTGTGACGGCCTCTGTGAGAGAGGTGATGGCAGCTCTGGCCCATGAGGATCACTGGACCAAGGGACAGGTGCTGGTAAAGGTCAATTCTGCAGGCGGTGAGTTGTGTCTCTGGATCCCGACTCCACCCTGGGAAATTCACACCCACATGCTTGAATTCAGACTGTTACATGTTGGTGCCCTGCACTTGTGGTAGGATTACCATATCTCCTCTGGCTGCTTCAGGAGCAATGCTCAAGACCCAGCTGGTTCTCTCATTGGCTGTGGCTCCCGGGGCAGGGTGTGTGAGCTGTGGGTTCATCACCTGTAAAGCACAGCTAATGAAATGCTGCTGCGCCTCTTAGAGGATCTGTGAGAACTAAATGAGAAAAGTGTTTGGAACGGTGTCTGATATGTGCCACTCTTACATACTCGTTTATTCCTACTCACAATCTCTCAAGAGGAAATTTTATCCTGTTTTTTTTTTTTTTCTCTTTTTCTTTGTCTTTTTGAGACAGGGTTTCTCTGTGTAACATCCCTAGAGGTCCTGGAACTACTCTGTAGACCAGGCTGTCCTTGAACTCAGAGATCCACCTGCCTCTGCTTCCCAAGTGCTGGGATTAAAGGTGTGCACGGTTTTTTCAACCATGGAAACAGGAGTTCAAGAGAATTTGGCGAATTCCCTGAGCTAATGATGTTAGTGAGCACGTGGCGAGCCTTTGGTTTTAGGTAGTCCTCAGTCACTAAGTCACTCAGCAGATTTCCTAGTTTGCGTTTTGTTTTTGTTTTTTGTTTGTTTGTTTGTTTGTTTTTTGTGATACAGTGCGATCTTTGGGGAGGCAAATGTACATGTCATCTGACATCTTATCAGCCCATTGTGAAGGGAAGCGAAGAGACTCAAGGCAGGAACGAAAGCAGAGACCATGGAGGAGTTCTGCTTACTGGCTTGCTCCCTATTGCTTGCTCATCCTGCTTTCTTATACAACCCAAGACCACCAGCCCAGGGTAGTGCTGCCCACAATAATCTGGGCCTCCCAGATCAATCATTCAACAAGAAAATGCCCCATACACTTGCTATGGGCTACTCTGACAGAGGCATAGTCTCAAATGAGGTTCCCTATTCCAAGATGATCCTAGCTCGTGTCAAGTTGACAAACCAACCAGCATAGCAAACATTTTAAAAACTAGTTTCTTTTTTATAATTTTATTTTTATTTTATGTGTATGGGTGTTTTGCCTAAATGTCTGTTCTGTGCACCACCATACATGTGTTTGATCCCTGTGAAAATAAGAAGAGGGGGTTGTATCTTGTGAAGATGGAGGTATGGATAGTTGTGAGCCACCAAGTGGTGCTAGGAATCGAACCCAGGTCCTCTGGAAGAGTAATGAGTGTGTTTAACTGCTGAGCCTCCTCTTCTGCTCCCACAGCAAGCATTTTGTAGTAGCAATGTGTTAGGTGCTTGGATTACTACAGAAACTGTGACAGATCAGTGGGATGGTGACAACATAGACTGGACCCCCAGAGCTATGTGAGAATTCCAGTTTAAGCTCTACCTAGCTGGGAGACTCTGGGCCTCTCTGGGTCTCCATTTCCTTGTCTGTTCAGTGAGCATTATCCCTGTACTGTTATGAGAACCTGCTGTTAGACTACAGATACCCATATTAAGGCATGTAACCCAGAGTCTAGATCATCTCTGCCTAGACTATCATCTAGGTTATCGGGATCTGCTTTTGGAGAATTTGGTATGTTAAAAAAACATTGTTATCCTTGAAAAGTGTAGCCTGGGCCTCATGGCCAGACCCCCCTCCCCCAGTCAAGGAACTGGGGTTATCAGGGAACTGTGGCAAGGGAAAAGCCCCCCTCCCTGCTTCAGGAGCTAGCAGGAACCAGAGCACACCTGTGTGCTCAGCTCTGGGAAGCACTGCCCTCTGATGGTTACCTGGTGAGTTACCACTGACCAAAGTTCTGGCAGTTGTTTTCATACCACCTATGCCAGTAACCAATGCTCTATTACAAATCCCCCTAAGTGTACATTTGCTTACAAATTACATATAAAAATCACATCATCTACATGTGATTATAAAGCGAAACACAAACTAGAAATACAAAACAGGTGAGAAAATGGATTAATTAAATAGAGGAGCTACTTGTCTCAACACACGGGTAGTCTTGTAAGTCACTGGCCAAGGGCCTGGAGACTCGAAGACACAAAGCCTTGCCCAGTTCACAGCTGATGAATGTAACAACAAGAGGTGTACAGGGTGTTTCCTAATTGTCAGAGGGCCTTTTTATATGTTTCTTTTACTTGCAACAGCCACACTCCTAAAAGTGGCCCAGGAAGCCCGGCGTTGGTGGCGCATGCCTTTAATCCCAGCACTCGGGAGGCAGAGGCAGGAGGATCTCTGTGAGTTCGAGGCCAGCTTGGTCTCCAGAGCAAGTGTCAGGATAGGCTCCAAAGCTACACAGAGAAACCCTGTTTCGAAAAACAAAACAAAAAAACAAAACAAAACAAAACAAAAGGCCTAGGAAATAGTTGGGGTGAGTCCTAGGGTCTTCAGTTGATGAAGGAAGAAACCGAGAGTCCTGGAAGTTGAGGCCTCATCCAAGATTGACCAGTCTCCGTGCTGCCTGAGTGGGCATGAGCACCTGTGTGTTTAGAATCTCTACTCAGCCACTGCCAGAAGACGAAAACTCTCAGAGAGGCAGGGGCCTCCAGCTGGTCTCTGGCCTCCCTCCAAACCACCTTTCCTCATCTCTGCCTCTGTTGCCTTCGCAGATGTTGTTGGCCTGCAGCCAGATGCCCGTGGTGTGGCCACATCCCTGGGGCTCAACGAGCGGCTCTTTGTTGTTGACCCACAGGAAGTGCATGAGCTGGTAGGGACAGGCAGGTTGCCAGGGCCTGGAGAGCTCTGGGAGGCAGAGTGGGTTCTGGGGGAGGGCCATGGGGAAGAGAGGGAGGTGTTCGGCTCTGGCTGCTGCTCTGTCTTCACAGGGAAGCGGGAGGGACGGCCTCAGCATCTGTACAGGGTCCAAGGGGAAAGAGGGGTTACCCTAATTCCGGACCCACAGGGGCTCAAACTGGAGTTCCGGTGTGAGGGAGTGGTCAGTGCAATGACCCCTCAGGAGAGCCCATTTTCCAGCCGCCACAGACCCAAGAGTCCCCTCCACTTGGCGTGCCCTGTCTGCCCACTGTCCCTCTGAACACAGGCAGGGTCCCAGGTCCTCCCTGTGTCTGAGCGCTCTTCCCCTGCAGACCCCACACCCTGAGCAGCTGGGGCCCACTCTGGGTTCTTCTGACATGCTCGAGCTAGTGAGTGCCAAGGACCTGGCAGGCCAGCTGACAGACCACGACTGGAACCTCTTCAACAGGATCCACCAGGTGCAGCAGGTAGAGCCGAGGAGGGGGGTCTGGACCAGACACCAGGCCTAGCCTGCTGACCTGGCCTCTGCCCCACCCACCCAGGTGGAGCTGATCCATTATGTCCTGGGCCCCCAGCACCTGCGGGATGTCACCACCGCAAACCTGGAGCGCTTCATGCGCCGTTTCAATGAGCTGCAGTACTGGGTGGCCACTGAGCTCTGTCTGTGCTCAGTTCCCGGCCCCAGGGCTCAGCTGCTTCGGAAGTTCATCAAGCTGGCAGCCCAGTGAGTGCCTGTGGGGACATGGGGTGTGTGTGTGGAAACAGTGGGGTGTGTTGCCAGCCCTGTGGCTACCCCTTCTTAACCCCTTTCCAGTGTTGCCCAATATGCCTTCTCTTTGTTCCTGGGTCCCCAGAGCCTTTGCCTCCTAACCCACCCACCCTGCAAAGGCAGCACTGGGCTCATGGCTGTTTCCTCTGAGGGTATCTGGGTCTTGTGCTCACAGCCTCAAGGAGCAGAAGAATCTCAACTCCTTCTTTGCGGTCATGTTTGGCCTCAGCAACTCTGCCATCAGCCGCCTGGCCCACACCTGGGAGGTAGGTCTCCAGGAGGGTCTGATGCCCAGGCCAGGCCTATGCCCTCCTGGGGGATGTCCAGGGTGGCTCCCTCTTCCCAGCCATGGCCCCTCACATGTCTCGTGTTTACAGCGTCTACCCCATAAAGTACGGAAGCTGTACTCCGCCTTGGAGAGGCTGCTGGTAAGTGCTTGGCCCATTTCTGCCATCTTTGGATGCCGGTTCTTAGCCTTTCACAGTTTTCAGTGCCCACCTAGGGCCTGGATCCCTCTGGCCTGTGGTTGTGGAAGCTGGCTGAGGGTATGCGGCATAGTGATTGGGGCCTTGTGGTATACTGTGCCCTTGGTATTCACGTAGGGGACATTCGCCCTAGATGTGAGACTGTAGCAGGTGGGGTGGGGTGGGTGAGGGGCTGTTGGGGGATGCCAGACTCTAGCTGCTCTGCCCAGGGGTTCAAGCTGATGGCCAAGCATGACAGCAAAGACAGGACTGAGGTCTTCTGCTCCTTGAGGTTGTGAGCAGGAGACCCACTGTGTGTCATACAGAAGGGTGTCACTTTCCCCTCCAAGATCCTCAAAGGGCTTGCAGGCTGAACCTGTAAGACAAAAGTGAGGAATTAGTCAGTGGCTGAGCCTCCTGGAACTTTGGAAGGCTTTGTAGAGTCTAGAGAGAAGAGCACCAAGGTCTTTTCAGCCTTGGGAGTTCTCAAGAGAACTGGTCACTTCATGGGATCCAAGGGGTTCAGGGAGCACACCCACCAGAGAGACAGAGGCTGAGAGAGGTTCCCAGAAACCTTCAGGCCTCTGTGACTAATCACCATGGAGATTCCCTGGGGGTATTTGGAACTTAGAAAGCCAGTCCTTGTCCCCTTTTGGCCCCACAGACCCTGTCTCAGTGAGATCCTGTAGTAGGGGAGGCTGGCTTGGAGTTTCTCTGATATGGCCTGGGACCCAGGAGAGGATGGGTCTGTGCCATCAGTGCAGGACTCCCTCAGGGCAGGTTTTTCTCCTCACAGGACCCCTCATGGAACCACCGAGTTTATCGATTGGCACTCACTAAGCTCTCCCCTCCTGTCATCCCTTTTATGCCTCTGCTACTCAAAGGTAGGACTGGTGTTCTCCTCTCTGCCTCCCTCCCTGGGCTCATTTTCATGTCCCCTCAACACTCAGGTGATGACAACTGAAGGGCTGACATACAGGGAGCACGGAGCTAAATTAGAAGTTGACAAGCCGAAAGAAGAGTTAGGACAGGAACATAGTAGGGCTGCTCTGAGGGCCGTGATTGAAGTCCAAGAGATAGATGTCAGGAGTTTCGATGGCTCAGAGGCTGCTAGAGGCTGAGGGTGGGTCAGGCCCTGTGATCCCTGTGGTTGGCCCCTCACCTTTCCTGGAATGCAGGAGAGGAAGGAGTTTGGGGATCTATAAGCAAAGTCATCCCTTTGTAGACATGACCTTCATCCACGAGGGAAACCACACGCTCGTAGAGAACCTCATCAACTTTGAGAAGATGGTAAGTTCGAGGAAAGTGAGCTTCACCTTCAGTGTGGGTTGACAGTATGACATGGGGAGGGGTCAGGGGTGAGGCAGTGTGACAGTTGCCTGGGAAGGGTCAGGGGTGGGAGTCACAGCTAGAATCTGAACCTAGGTGTGTGTGCAAGTGACCTCAATATACAGGAGGCTGAGGCAGGAGGATTCTGAGTTTAAGAACAGCCTGGAATCTATCTATCTAGATATATACTCGTATATATCTAGATAGATGGATAGATAGATAGATAGATAGATAGATAGAGACCTTGTTTCAAAAAAGTGGAACAGAATATTTGTTAAATCATTCCTCCGTTATTCCAGTGTGCACTGGAAGGTCTGCCTTCTATTGGAGCTACTGGGATGACAGCCTCAAACATCACACTGTTCAATAAGAACCCTTTCTAACCCTACTTTATCTCTTAGCCTCCCCTAATCTGTCTTCCAGCTGCTGTGCTGTGGCTTTTATTTCTCTTTTGGCTTTTTTGAGGGCCCACCACCCAGCTCCCAAATAACTCACACACAAAGGCTTGCTTATTCTTAGTTATGAGTGCCCGACCTTAGCTTGGCTTATATCTAGCCAGCTTTAAAAAAAAAAAATTAACCTATCTAACTTTTCCCTCTGGGATTTTATCTTTCTTACTATCTACTTTCCTTTTTACTCTGTAGCTGTCCCCCGACCCCCCTCCTTGTTCTCTTGCTCCCTGCTTGTTTCTCCTATTTACACTCTCTGCCTGCCAGCCCCGCCTATCCTTGCTTCTGTCTTGCTATTGGCGGTTCAGCTCTTTCTTAGGACCATTAGGTGTTTTAGGCAGGCAAAGAATCAGCTTTGCAGAGTTAAACAATTGCAGTGTAAACAAAAGTCACGCATCTTCACACCATTTGTTTAGATGTTCCCCAGCATAAACACACATCTTAAAATAATATTCCCAACACTGCTGCCTAGCTCCTACTGAGCACCTGGGTGTGCTGGGTTGAAGCAGCCTTAACTGTCTTTTATAGATCCCTAGGAACATGGTTTAAAAGGGGGCTTGATTCCCAGCTTCCCATATGCAGGCCAGGCTGTGGGCTCCCAGGCCAGATCTCATGTCTTTGTGTCACCCACAGCGAATGATGGCCAGAGCCGTGCGAATGCTCCATCACTGCCGGAGTCACAACACTGGTAAGAGGTGACCCCCCCCACACACACATACCTGGGTAAGAGTCCCTCAGTTCTCCCAGGGAGGCTCAGCATGGCCTTCTCCCTGACTCGCCCCTTTCACCCTGCCCAGTGCCTCTGTCACCACTCAGAAGCCGAGTATCCCACATCCACGAGGACAGCCAGGCATCAAGGATTTCCACATGTAAGTGATGGGACAGGGCTACTGGCAGGAGTTGGCATAGCCAGGGACAGAACTGGGTGCTTATGTTCAGCCCATTGGCACTTGTGTGAGACAGGTGCCAATGCTAGCCCACATTAAAGAGGAAGTTAGTGATGGAGGAGGAGCTCTCGTGCTAATTCCAGCCTAAGTATCTATCTAATATGAGTTGTATGTGGTTAAGGGATAGTCATGACATACGGTTTGTAGCACAGTGCCCATCCCGTGGTCACAGATATATCCACACTGATAATAAACTGAGCCTTTGGCTCAGTCCAAGTAGAACACAAATGATAACTTGGTTCTCTACTGTCTACTCTCTCTCCCACAGTGGCCACTATTTTGTGGATTGATTGATTGTTATTTGAGACAGTTTTACCTCATAGCCCAGGCGGGGATTCTAAACCTGGGCCATATTTTGTGCTTTTTTATTTTATTTAAATAGTCTTATCTTATACCCACATGCTTCATACATATTATAATAGACTTCTTTCAGATTTTATTTTTATTTGTGTATGTACGCACATGTACACGTGTGTAGGGATGGGTGCACACACATTTGTATATGTGTATGCACCTGTGTAGGGGTCAGAGGACAGCTTTGGGTGGTGCTCCTCAGGCACCCACCCTCTCCTTTTTGTGAGGCAGGCTGTCTCACTAGCCTGGAACTTACTTAGTAGTCTAGCCTGGCTGACTGGCTCCAGAGATCTGCCTGAGTCTACCTCACCAGCAGGGGAATCATAGGTGCTTGCTGGTTCTAGGGTTTGGCCTCAGGTCTTCGTGCTTACAAGACAAACAGTTCATATCCTGAGCCAGCCTTTGGTTATTTGTTTGACTTTTTTGAGCCAAGTCTTTGCTGGCCTAGAACTTGCTATGTAGCTTAGGCTGGCTTCAAACTCATAAAGATCCCCTTGCCTCTGCCTTCTGGGCTCTGGAGTAAAGGCGTGCACCACTATGCTTGGCCATTTTTAATTTTGAAAGTGGGTCTTGGAACTCTCATCCTCCTGCCTCGGTTTCTGAAGCTCCAGAATTATAAACACACACCACTAGATCCAGCCTGCTCCAGTTCCTTTTGAACTAGAGGAGGGGCAGTATGGTGAGCTCTTGGGGGTCATTTTTCTTCAGACTTTGCAACCACTGTCCCCCTGAATCTGGTGGGGAGAGATGCAAGGACATTAGTGGGGGGGCAGGGCTAGTGTTAAGAGGATGCAGGGTGTGGAGTGGAGGCCCAAGAGACCCCCTGAATCTGGTGGGGAGAGATGCAAGGACAATGGGTGGAAGGCAGGGCTAGTGTTAAGAGGATGCAGGGTGTGGAGTGGAGGCCCAAGAGATGGGGCTGCTCCCTGGAGAGGACAAGGGTGGGGTTGGTGAAGTGGTGATGGTGCCCCCTGATGGCTCTCCTTTCCTCCAGGCTCTGAGCAGTCCCTGAGCACCCGGAGTCCAGCTAGCACCTGGGCCTATGTCCAGCAGCTGAAGGTCATCGACAACCAGCGGGAACTGTCCCGCCTCTCCCGGGAGCTGGAGCCATGAGGAGGGACTGGGCAGAGCAGGCACTTCTCTCAGAGAAAGCCAGAGCCTGTGGGGCCCAAGAGGTTCAGAGGCCAGCCACGGCTGGGCAGGGCTCTTCGTGGAGAGGACTCAAGGCCCTGGAGTGGGCAGTGTAGAGGCAGCTGTCCCCTGTGATGACTGTCGGCTAAGGAGATCTTTGATGTGGAACTGAGCTGGCCACAAGGCCAAGGAAGAGGGGACATTGATGCCCTGGAGTGGGTAGGAGGAGCTAGGAGGTGCAGAACTCTGAGGCTCGATAGACAGCTCTCCCACGAGGCTTTTTGCACCATCTGTGCATGCAGCTGTGCCGCTCAGTGGTCGCCAGGCCCTGTGCTTGTTTTCCATAGGGGTCAGAGAGCTCACATCTGTATGATGTGTGTGCACAGGGTGGGGCCTTGCCTGGGAAAGGATGGGGAGTTCTGCTTTTCTCTCCACATATCTGAGATAAACAGCTGGGTGTAGGCAGGGCTGTTGCCTAGAGTGGTGGTCCCTGTGGCGCTGCATTGTTCCCATAAATTAACAAAGATATGTGTGTTCTACAGCCTGGGTGTGTGGCAGGGAATGGCCGGTGGAAGAGGAGGTTGTCCCTCTGGGCGCAGAGAGCAGCCCCAGCACCTCGGGCTGGCCTCCAGGAAAGCTGACTGTTGCCCAGATGGGCTACAGTGCTGTCCCGGACACTCTGGGGACCATCAGCTCTGCAAAAAAAAGATAATGAAAGTCCAGATGCAGCTAGCGTCCTCTACTGTCTCCTTCCCAGCCCTGCTTCCTCTCTCTGCCCTTGATCCCGTTGGGTGTTGTGTATGCTGAGCAGAGGCCTCAAGAGGGTGAGGGAAGAGGCAGGCAGAGGAAACCAACCGAAGCATAACTGATTTCCAGGAAACATGAATTTATCCTTGGGGATGAGTTGAGTGTTCCCCACCCTTACATCCCACCCCGCCAGCACATATTCTGTGTTGGTTAAGGACCTCTTTTCCCTGCCTCTTCAGCACCTGCCTGGGCAGAGTTTTGTGCCTGGAAACTCCATGCCAGGATGCCACCCTCTCTGCTCTCCTTGTTGGCAACCTGAAAGAAACCCCACAGCCTCCACCATGACCCTGAGTAAACTCCAGGGCAGCAGCACTCTCGGGCATCTAGAGGAGGTGCCTGCAGCAACAGGGCAGCGGGAGGCAGCTAGGGCAGTCCTGTACTTGTCCTGCAGGTGCAGCAGCTGGATCAGACTTGACATACTCCGTGCACCACCCCAACCCCCACTCCCCGGCCAGACTCCTCAGCCTGAGGTTACAGATGCTGTGTTAGCTGCTCCCAGGAAAGATCCAAGCTGTTGGCAAGGAGACAGCACATGGACATTACACCTCGGGTCTAATGAGCCTGAGCACACCAGTGTGTGTGCTTTGCCTTCATTTGTCCAGCTGTAAAGTGGGTATGATATAGGGTTGTTGGTAACAAACAAGGCAGCAGGTCTTGCCTCCTTCAGAGTGACTGTCACAGTCCTGTATCCATGACCTAGAGGACAAGCCGCATCTTCTGGAGTGGAGTCTGAGACAGCTCTCAGGATGCAATCAACTGGTGGGATGACCAAACCAGTTCTGTTGCCTGTGGGCAGGGAGGGAGGATCTGAGGGAAGCGTCCAGAGCTGAGCAATCATGAGTCCAGGCCCAAGCATCAGTGAGTCAGGAGTCCCTGAAGCTTTCTTGTCTTCTAAGCCCATTGTCACTGTTTCAGTCGAGGCCATGCCAGTCAGTCTCAGCCCTTTGCCATCTTCGCAGACTCCAGGGTGAAACCAACCCAGCGATGAGACAGGCTTTGTCCTTCACCTGCTTTCCTTTCTTTCCCTGGTCACACTTACCTTCTGACCAACATTCTGGGCTCCTTGTGGGTCTTCCAGGTTAAACAAGCTGCAACTTCCCAGATGCTCTACCTCTGTCTACCTGGACCTCTTTGAGCCTGTTGGGAAAGATTCTGGCAGGAGAACAATGCCCTGGAGACACAGGGGACACAGACTGGGGTGTGGATGTATGAGGGAGGTCACTGCCTAGGGGACAAGGGGCTGAGGAAGAGTCCAGGCTCCTGATGGCAGTCTCCTGATGTTCAGGCAGAGGGCGGGGACGGTGCTCCTGCTCTCTAGCTTCCCAGGCTGTGTGTATATGTGGGTGGTGGAGGCTCCTGAGGCCAAAGTAGGAGGGGAAGATCACAGGCTTGTTGAGAAAGACTGAACAAGGGAGGAGGGGACCTGAAATCTAGCATTTAAAAGACTTGTTACCTAAAGAAGTAGAACAGAGGGTGTGTGTGTGTGTGTGTGTGTGTGTCTGTCTGTCTGTCTGTCTGTCTGTCTGTCTGTCTATCTGTCTGTTGAGAGAAAGCAGCACGGAATGGTCATTGCATATGTCTGTGACCCTCCCTATCTCCCTATGGTCTCTCTAAAGGCTATAGCCACAGGTTAGGCCAGCCAAGGACTTCAGCAGGGGAGGTTATGCCTCTCTAGCAGTGCAGTGCCTGGTGAAAGGGTAGAAGTTGGAGCCAACCCTCCCCTGTCCTTCAAGCTTTATCACCCTTTATAGGAGGATCGGCACAAACCCGTGACCAGCTCAGAGTTCAGCTGGGTGGAAGCAGGCCTGCTTTCACAGTCTTCTTGGCTCTATGTCTCCAACAACCCTGAACCGGATTGCACTCTGCTTCCCAAGTAGCAAAAATTAGACATTCTGATGTTGCTGTTATTCATGAGATTTTGTCAGGATAATAATAGTCTGAGATTTGAATAGAGCCTCTGGCCTCTCTTCATCACACTTTCACATCTACGATCTTATTTTTATCCTGGTGACAGAATAGGAACTACAGGTTATTTTTTTTACCTTGTTTCATAGTCAGAGGAACTGAGGCATGGAGAGATTTGCCTAAGGTCACCTAACGGCTTAATGACAGGGTGACAGTGCAAAGTAACTCCATAAGTACCAGTCATGTCCCTGGTGTGTCCAGTGTCACCTCCCTGAATCCCATTTCTTCTGTAGGAATAGCCCAGGTATAGAGTCCCTGTCTCTGTGGCTGGGATCTGATTTTCAAACATGGAGTGAGCGTTCTGCAAGTGAGATCAGCTGCCCTTACCTTCGTGGATCAAGCCACCAAACACATCAGAAGAGGAATTTAGAGGGTGATAAAAGCCTGGGCTGCCCCATCCACCTCTCCCCACCCACCAGAATAATTGAGTGAGGCCCAGAACTGCTCTCACATCAAAATGCATACTCATAGGGCTTCTCCCTCCATCAGCCCACAGAACGCTGCCGCTTGTGGCTGGAGCCAACTGTGATCTTGCTGTTTATAATTTTCCCCTTCCACATGTCCACAGACCAGAAAGCACATATGTATTTCAAAGCTCTACCCCATAGACAAAGAATTGGTCTTCTCATGTGTTTGCTGGGACCATGGACCTGCTCACCCAGGCCTGTCTACTTTCCCACCATTGATTCAGGGATCCCTCTTTCAGATCCTAGGCCCTCCCCGTGAGCTGAAGTCCCTCCCTAGCCTGGCTTGGCTGCACCTGAGGGGTGGAGGGCTTGCAGCCCAGGACAGGTGGTTGTGTCCCTCCTATACTGGTGACAAATAGGACTATGGTGGGAAGCCACACAGGCCCAGCTTCTCTAGCGGCGTTTTCTTTCCCAGGCTTGAGGGAACTTCCTTGCAGGAGCTGGAGCCTTGATAGGGCAGAAGGGGTGGATGGAACACAGAGGGCAGAGCTTTGGGACCCCTGGAAGTGGGAAGAAAACTTTAGCCGGGTGTGTTGGGCGCTATGGATTCTGGCTGCTGTGCAGATGGAGGCTGGCTAGTTGGTCCTCAGATCAGTGGTTAGAAATGGGTTGAAGGGGTCTCAGGATGGCAACCACATAATACAGAGCACTTTGGCAAGTGAAAAACAGTATCCTTGTACAGAAAGGTGCATAATCCCAGATAAGGCATATGAGCACATCAAGTGGGAGTCCTGCCAAGTTTTTGCTCCCACAAAGGGTCCTGTACCTTACACTCAGAACTCAGAGCTCGGCCTCATGTTCTTCTTTTTTTTCTTAAAGCCAAGACTTATTGTATTTATTATGTACATGGTGTTCTGTCTGCATGTACACCTGCAGGCCAGAAGAGGGCACCCGATCTCATTATAGATGGTTGTGAACCACCATATAGTTGCTGGGAATTGAACTCAGGACCTCTGGAAGAGCAGCCAGTGCTCTTAACCTCTGAGCCATCTCTCCAGCCTCATTTTTTTTAAAAAATATTATCAAGTCAGTTTATTTTCTTTTAAATTACTTTTTACTTAAATTAAAAACATTTTTTTTTAAAAATATGATCAAGTCAGTTTATTTTCTTTTAAATTACTTTTTACTTAAATTAAAAACAATCTTAAGCCGGGTGTCGTTGGCACACGCCTTTAATCCTAGCACTGGGGAGGCAGAGGCAGGCAGATCTCTGTGAGTTTGAGGCCAGCCTGGTCTACAGAGCGAGCTCCAGGACAGGCTCCAAAACAATACAGAGAAAGCCTGTCTAGAAAAAACCAAAATAAATGAATAAATACAATCTTATTTTACATACCAATCCCATTTCTCTCTCCCCCCTGCCCTCCCACTCCCCGCACCATTCCCCCATTCACCCCCATCCAGGCCTCAGGGAAGGTGAGGCCTCCAATGGGGGATCATCAACGTCTGTCACATCATTTGGGGCCAGGTCTAGGCCTTCCCCCATGTATCTAGGCTGAGAGAGTATCCCTCCATGGGAAATGGGCTCCCAAAACCCATTTGTGCACTAGAGATAAATATTGGTTCCACTGCCAGAGGCCCCATAGACTGCCCAACCCCCAAACTCACACCCATGTTCAGGGGGCCTGGTTCAGTCCTATGCTGGTTCCCCAGCTGTCAGACTGGGGTCCGTGAGCTCCCACTTGCTGAGGTCAGCTGTTTCTGTGAGTTTCCCCAGCATGGTCTTGATCCTTTTGCTCATCACTCCTCCCTCTCTACAACTGGATTCCAGGAGTTCAGCTTAGTGCTTAGCTGTGAATCTCTGCTTCTGCTCCCATCAGCTGCTAGGTAGAGGCTCTAGAATAGCACTTGAGGTAGTCATCAATCCCATTATATGGGAAGGACATTTCAGGTAGCCTCTCCACTATTGCTTAGATTCTTAGTTGAGGTCATATTTGAGGTAGTCATCAATCCCATTATATGGGAAGGGCATTTCAGGTAGCCTCTCCACTATTGCTTAGATTCTTAGTTGAGGTCATCCTTGTGGATCTCTGAAGATTTCCCTAGTGCCAGATTTCTCGTTAAACCCACAATCACCCTCACATTCTTACATGCTCTGGTAACCTAAAAGTGATGCAGCTGATAAGCAAAGTGTTATTCATCTTCTGCAAGATACGTTTTTAAAGAGCCTTCAACCTTTGCTACCTCTTAGGTATTGCCCTTCCCTAAAGCCTGAATCTGTGGGTGGGTCCCCAAGTCTGCCTGTGTGAGTGGGTGGGTGGGTGACTGCTTGCTTTTCTACTCTGTAATCCAGGTAGTCTAGAGAAAGCCTTATCATGTAATGTATATTGTAGGAACATTCTAATGAATATTTCTAGTGGTCACTTGGGGACAAACAGAATTGCTCCTAGACAATAGCAGTAGAGGAGTCCTCAGGGCAAAGCCCAGGGTGTTGCTTGGAGAGATGGAGGGCTGCAGCGGCTCTGGGGAATCACAGGGTGGCAAGGAAGAGCCAGTCTCGCCGGACTGCCAGGAAGACCTGAGATGCACCCAGAGTCCCGCACAGAGGTCCCGTGAATGGAAAGGCTCCTCGCGTGCCTTTTCTTCTGCATCTTGACACCAAGCAGCTGCAGATAGCTACAGCAGTGTTAGGGACATTAACCTTCCAGGGAGCAAGCAAGAATCGGAGGCAAGGAAGAGCCAGTCTCGCCGTACTGCCAGGAAGACCTGAGATGCACCCAGAGTCCCGCACAGAGGTCCTGTGAATGGAAAGGCTCCTCGCGTGCCTTTTCTTCTGCATCTTCACACCAAGCAGCTGCAGATAGCTACAGCAGTGTTAGGGACATTAACCTTCCAGGGAGCAAGCAAAGGTTGCAGGCTGCACCTCAGAAGTCAGAAGAAGTAAGGCTCTAGCCAAATGAGTTAGGCAGTGCGACTCACTGAAGGGTCATTGGACCCCAACACCAAAATGGAGAGTCTTCAGTTTTACATTTAAAATTCACATTTATTTTTTTAATGTATATCACACTTGATGTCTCTATTTATTTTTTTCTTTTTTTGAGATAGGGTTTCTATGTGCAGCCCTAGCTATCCTGGAACTCACTTTGTAGACCAGGCTGACCTTGAACTCATAGAGATCTGCCTGCTTCTGCTTCCCAAGTGCTGG